CCATCAATCTTGCTCTTTCGTGTATTGTCAATGGTGGCGATGGTAGCACGTCACAGGATATAACTTCTATTTCCAGCGCCTCAATCGTGACTTGCTCCGATGTGGGGTCTTTCCTTACGCTGACCTCGACGACTTTCATGTCTAGTTCCATCTCTTCTCCTCCAAATGATCCTACGGTAATCCTTTCAGATCTTTTTACCTTGCACGCTAGTTTTCTTGACAGTCTTTTGAGGATGAATGTCCTCTGGCCCCCCTTGTCGAGCAGAATTCGTGCGTAGCACCCGCTGTCTTCTCCCTCCGTCCTCGGAAAGGCTGTCTGCAGTAGTATGCAATTATGTTCACCAGACTGCTGCGCGTGCACGTTGCAGTACTTGCTAGTGTCTAACCAGTCAGGTTGCGTGCTTTTACTTACTTGCTCAACATCATCAACACTTTGCTGCTGTGCCGACTTTCCTGCAGGTATACGTGGTTGACACATGAATGACGCGTGCCTTCCCTTGCATGTTTTGCAGTGTACGTTAGCGCGGCATATCTTCGCCGTGTGGTGAGGTCTGGTGCATCTGAAGCACCTTCGCTCCCGTTACAAGGCTTCTTTCTTCTGTTTGCATAGTAATGCATAGTAATGCATAGTAATGCAATCTTCCATGTAATATCCAGTCATCTCACAGAAGATGCGTTTTTCCATCAAAGTGCTTTGAAGCATAGATTTTCTAGTCCGCCTCATACTGTGCGGTGACTGGGTCACGTCGTATTGTATCTCTCGAGTTTCTCCTCTGTTGCGTATATATATCTTTAAAAACTCCTCAATTTATTTCAAACTGCTCGTGCTGTTTCTTGACGTTGAGTCCGTTTCTGTAGTTACTGGTCTTTTGGCACCTTTCTCTATCTTTTTCATTTTCATCTCAATCCTCATATACACCTGTAGCGCAGATTTTATAACAGTAGCTATCACCGTGGCGTAACTACCCATTTGCACTCCTAACGACTGCAATGCTCGTGTGTTCACCTGCCACTTTTGGAAGAGCTTCTTCAACCCATCTACATCTTTAGGACTCTTCACTGCTTCCACGTTTGCTAGCTTTTTATGTAGGTCTCTCTTAAATTATCTTGTCGTCCGAAGGTTTCTTTCAGAAGAGCGACTGCATGCTCGTAATTCTGATCAGAAAACTGCAAACGTACTATTAGAGGCGCTGCCCCCTGCTCAGAGACGCCAGAGGGTAATTAAATTTTTTTTTTATTCGGCATGTTCAATATGATATGCACCGATGTCTCGAACTGATGCCAAAACCTTGGCCATGCTGTTTTTTTTTTTTTTCCATCAAACTTGATCATCTAAAGACGTGGCAACTTAAGAAGCTCTTGCGTCTCCGAGATTCGATTAGTACCTTGCACTTGTTTCGTGACTATTCTCGTAGTCAGTTGCGTCGCTTGTTATAACTCGCGTAATTGCTCCTCTATTTTTGTCGTTGTGGCGACGATCTTCATCTCATATTGCAAAACTCTTTCAAACTCTGCCTCCGCGTCTTCTTTTCAATGAGTGATTTAATCTGTTCATTAACTTGTCTTGGCGTCAATGACACACTCTTCATCTGGTTTAGAAGTGTCATAAGTTGCGCACGATCGGCGTCTTTTTTTGTATTCTTATTAATTTCGCTTTTAAGCGTTGCCGCATTTGCTCGAAACGTCTTCTGCTTCTTCGATAGGGCCTCTTTATTCGTGCTTAAAATGTGTTGAGAGAGCTCTTGCCTGTGTATGTGTGTCGCCAACAGTCGTCGGTGATAGTCCTTCCCTCGACGGTTCGTCTTTGAGCCAGACACTGCTGCTTCGTTCTTCAACCCGTTGTCGCGAATGGGGTCTGTCCTTTGCGTCTGTCCTCAGATATCCTGGTCTTGGCACCATGTTACAGAAGGACTAGAGAGACCGCAGAACTGATGCAACTTGGGTTTATTGTTGACAGAACGATACTGAAAAAATATATAGAGCGTGCCCCTGCTCACTTCTTCTTCCTCGTCTCCAAGCTCCATCTTCAATCTGTTTACTACATACACTGTTCCACTTTGATAGCTTGTGGTCGTGTTGGTGTGTAACATATACGTGATATGAAAAAACACCCTCATTGCGCTTTGATCGAGACAACTGCAACTCACAACGGTTCCCCGATATGCTGACCGACAAGCACATGTTGAATCACGCTTTTTTCTTTCGCCGTTTTTTTTAAAGTGGTTTACATTTTGGTAAGTTCACGAAATTATTCAAAGCAGTGTGACAAAGATCATACGTGACGACCGAGAGCGTATCCAGGCTCTGGCGCCAGTTCGTGCCTGATAAGAACACTCAGATCGTAGACGTCATCGCTACTAGCGCATCGTCACTCAGGACGGTATGCGTGGAATGTATCACACCAAACACAAAGCACTAGTGTCGATGTCACATGGCGCTCCACTTTTATTAAACTCAGGTACGCTGTTTGCCATAGAAATAAAATAACTTCCACGTGCCGGATTCAATTCAAATTTGGCTGAGATGACCCACACACATCCAGCAATCATGGGAAGGGCAAATTTTGATTCTAAAATTTGATGTCAGTGCTCCTTTAAGGTACTTAGTGCACGCTCAGTTGAATATGCTGGACAAAATTGAAGTCGTTGAGGAGACAAAAGGGTTAAATTTTTCAAATAAGGCAATATTCGAATGTGAAATAGTTTTTCAATTATATTACCAAAAAAAAAGGATAGGAGAGGAATAGACCTATAATTACGAACAGAAGTCTTATCGCCCATCTTAAAAATGGGAACTATTTTACCAACCTTAAGACAGCTCGGAAACACACCCACAAAAAACAGCCTATTAATAATAAGTGCCAAAGGTTGGAATACGATGCTTGAAACTAGTTTTACTTTAAAAAGATCAATACGGTCGAGTGCTTCCACCAACAGTTCAAAGCAGCCATCGTGTGCCACCCAGAGTCAACCTGGCTCGAAGCCATCCCAGCCATCATCCTAGTTCTTTGCGCCACCTTCAAGCCGAACAGTTAGGCTACATCCACAAAACTCGTCTACGAAAAACCGTTCCACCTTCCAGGCGAATTTCTTGCTGTACTATCATTGAATACCGCGATGTCAGACCCCTCCAATATCATCGCCCGGCTCCAACGCACCATCGTCGCGCTCCACTTGTGACCTGCAGCTCACCACTGTAAGCCTTCAGCTTCTGTCTTCAAGAAGCTAGCAATGCGCACACACCCTTTTCTCCGTGAGGACACCGTCCCCAGGTTCTTCCAGACACCCTAGAATGACTCTACCTGGTTGTCCATTGTGGCATCACCCTGCAGGAATGACATTCGTGTTTTGATTGACTCGCTAAACCAGACAACATTAGTGTACCCACAGATGGCCATTTACAACCCTTGACATCGCAACCTCCTACTGTCACTACACGTTGTAGACGTTGCGTGCAACCCATTTACTTCTACAGTCTATGATGGCTCTTCACTCAGCTGGGGGAGGGAGTTGATATGGCAACACAATTTGCGCATAATTCGGCACAGCCTCCACCTCGCTATCATTAAGCCCGGCGTGACGACAGGACTGCAGGCTGCACTGCAATCGGATAAGCATCAGCGCCACTGCATCGTCATCCGAGGCCCGTGTCACAGGCGTCGACTGCGAAAACAGCCAACCAAGTTCGGAAGCACATCACTTTGCTATGGTACCTCCGATGAGCGTAGCGTCCGAATGCTCACCCAATGCTGCTGCAATAGTTGAATGAACACTTGTTACACTTTTATGTTGGAATCCATCCTTATATCGATACGGCATCCCACAAGGCTATTGTAATATGCGCAGTGTTCAACCTCGAGAAAAGAGCGACATGAAAAGGCAATATACCTATGAGAGACACAAAGTTGACACTTCCTGAAAAGTATACTCAACAAGGTTCATGCTTGTTTACATGACAAAAGTTCAAGGGTTTTCAAGGACCGCATTGCATGTTACAAACCAAACTGACACATCTTCCGAGAAGAATTGGAAGCTTGAAATATTTACATTCATTGAAAAAGGGCAACATCGCTAGATAGAGCATCAAAAACAAGGCTACGACAACATTTTCTTTTTAGGCATCTTTAAATCATTGTGTTGCATAGATAATCACTTACAGTCCTCCCTGCCTTCCCTTTTCTCTCTCTCTTCTTTTTCAATATAACACAAGATGCAAACACAAGATAAGCAAAATTTAGAAACAGTTTATTATGCCACTCCTGAATTTTTATGTCCACTATCTCCAGCTGCTTGGTGTTAATTGACAGTTTTCCTAAGGCTGTTAAACTAGCTCCCCCCTGCGTACGTGTCTTAAGTGGCTCATAATTTATTAACAGCAAATTGTAGTTTTATTTATTTTTTTAAGCATTTCAAACTTCCTCCTCAGTGCAAAATTTCTCATCCTCCTGCCTTTTGCGAGTTTCCAAATATGTCTGCTGCGGTGGAGTAGTTGTCACAGTGCTCAGCTGTACAGCTGACTGCGGCGGTCGCTTTCCGATACAGGTCTGTGCAGTGAGTCATTCTGTGCATGTTACACAACACCACATGGAGCCTTCCACTAAGGTGTCTCTCAGAATTATATCTTGGTTTTCAGACAAAGAATTTTATAATTAAAATGCTCCGTGTTTCTTCCTCGCAGAAGCCATTAATGTTCGCAATTTAATTATGATAAGCACAATACATATTCCAACTGCTACATTTACAGCATCACATATAATAGACTGAATTCTAAGACAATCTTCATTGAAAAAATAAAAAAAGGAAATTGAAGGATTTCGAAAGACTTGTGAAAATTCTGGCACTTTCAAGGCCTTCAAAACAAACGTTTCAAACACAAGGATTTTCAAATAACTGCATGAGCCCTGTTTAACACTGTGGTGCTATTTATTGGTATAGCTTGCCTTCAATGATTTATTGTACTGCCTCACACAAACGTTAAGGCAAGGTACAGCACAGACATACCTGTTGCTTCCCCGCACAGGTGTTTGCAAAGGCCTATGAGCTTTTTGCTATGGTCTTGAAGGAGCTTGACATTTCCTGGAATATTAAGAAAAGATATACAATAAAGCATCGTTAATTCAAACTCAGTAAAATTGAATGCATATCAAGTGTACGAACATGGAAGGTGAACAAAAAAAAAAAAAAAACCCAAAACCTAAAAATATTCTGCACTTGTGGTGACACTGCATGTGTTACTTTCAGGTTTTTGAGGGCTTTGTTTTTGCTTTTGTTAATTTGTCAAGTTGATATATAGGCGGGCGGTTCAATCTGTTGATGCGTAATTTACATGTGTCTGCCTTTACTCGTTTTATTAGCCACTGCAACCGCCACACACACATGCACGCACACACGCATGCACAAATATATATAAGGTATATATATATATATATATATATATATATATATGAGGGGAAAAACTGTATACTTAAGGGCTCATTTTTCTCTGTTTTTTTGACACAATCATAATGAAATGTAATAGACAATAATGCCAAGGAAAATATAAGGGAGGTTATTAGACCGAATTGTAAGGTAAATGTGAAGAAAGAAAAGTGGGTGAAAAGATAACTTTTCAGATAACGTGGGCAGGAATCGAACCAGCAACCTTCGAATAACGCGTTCGATACTCTACCACTGAGCTACCACACCGGCTATCCTCCCAGACACGTTATTGGGTATATACGAGAATTTAATCGTGGGAGTGTCAGTCAGCGCCATCTGTAGCCATGGCGGCGAGTGTGGCACACTCTTTATGCGCCTGTGTGGCATCATGTAGCATGTGAATTTATTACGAGCTGGCAGCTTACCAATGGTCCCTCGTATACAACTTAAGGCACCATGTCTGCCAGTACGAGACCATCGTTAATGAATAGGAAAAGAAGTGTATACTTAAGGGCTCGTTCTTACGTGTTTTTTGACACAATCTTAATGAAATCTAACAGACAATAATGCCAAGGAGAGTATAGGGGAGGTTATTAGACCGAAGTGTAAGGTAAATGTGAAGAAAAGTGTATGAAAAGATAACGATAACTTTCCGTGGGCAGGAACCACAGAACTATATATATATATATATATATATATATATATATATATATATATATATATATATATATATATATATATATATATTTATAGTGGGAGTAATAATTCAATGGACCAGTTAGTCTTCGTGAAGGTATGTGATGTGGCACAACGGGAGCATTGTCAACAAGGATAAATATATTTCCCAACAGTTTCGGGAGGGGTCCTCCCTTCATCAGGGGATGAGTTATACTGACAAGAACTTCCAAACTTCGTTGCTGCCGCGTCCCTCTCGCCTTGAAAGATGTTTGCGAGAGTGAGAGAGAACTGAAAAAAGAAAAGAAAAAAAAACAAAAAGGGGAAGAAAAAAAGACGAAAAAAAAGAAAAAGAAAGAAAAGAAAGAAAGTAAAAAAGAGGAAGAACCACTGTCAACACTGAGAACGAAAGCAACTGTCCGTGTACGTCCACATACGGTTCTTATCACATGCTGTTCAGTGTCGGGCCACCCAAGATTGTCGCCGCGGTGGCGGGAGGGTCCGTGACGGCGTGCGTAAGAAAGGGCTTCCCCTTAATGGGTCGGTCGGCGTGAGGGGTGCGTAAAGAAAGGGTTTCACCTTATTGGGTCGGTCGGCTCTTTACCTTTAATCTTTGTCCGTTTCCCTTCAATGGTCATCAAGTGGTAGGCGAACGTAAACACTTTGTATGTGCATGTGAAAAAAACAAACAAAAAAAAACAAGAAAGGACAGTGTACACGTACGAGTCAGTCAGAAAAAACCATGGTCTCCGGCTATCAATCTTTGTCACCAATTTCCTCCTGGCTTACCTCTCGGAGGCAGTTGAGTTTTCCGGGGTCCTCGTTGATGCCGGCTACTAATGTTCAAAATTTGAAAATAAAATATGCCTCACGCTGTTCGTGAGCCTTAATTGTGACTACAGTAACGTAATATACATGCTACATTGCAACATCTGCGGACAAGAATATATCGGCCAAACAGACACGCCATTTCGGCTGCGGTTCAATAATCACCGGTACCACGCCACTTCACTGCCGAAGCTACCTTTATCTAGACATCTACGCCTGCCAAACCACAGTTTTAAAAATATCAGCGTAACTCTTTTGCAGTCCGGTTTCTTAAACAGGCGCGAGCGCGAACAGCGTGAGGCACATTTTATTTTCAAATTTCGAACATTAGTAGCAGGCATCAACGAGGACCCCGGAAAACTCAACTGCCTCCGAGAAGTAGGCCAGGAGGAAATTGGTGAAAAAGATTGATAGCTGGAGACCATGCTTTTTTCTGACTGACTCGTACGTGTACACTGTCCTTTCTTGTTTTTTTTTGTTTTGTTTTTTCACATGCACATACAAAGTGTTTACGTTCGCCTTCCACTTGATGACCATTGAAGGGAAACGGACAAAGATTAAAGGTAAAGAGCCGACCGACCCATTAAGGGGAAACCCTTTCTTTACGCACGCCGTCACGAACCCTCCCGCCACCCCTGCGACAATCTTGGGTGGCCCGACACACGTCGAGAACTGAACAGCACGTGATAAGAACCGTATGTGGACGTACACGGACAGTTGCTTTCGTTCTCAGTGTTGACAGTGGTTCTTCCTCTTTTTTACTTTCTTTCTTTTCTTTCTTTTTCTTTTTTTTCGTCTTTTTTCTTCCCCTTTTTTAGTTTTTTTTCTTTTCTTTTTTTAGTTCTCTCCTCACTCTCGCAAACATCTTTCAAGGCGAGAGGAACGCGGCAGACACGAAGTTTGCAACGAAGTTTGGAAGTTCTTGTCAGTATAACTCATCCCCTGATGAAGGGAGGACCCCTCCCGAAACTGTTGGGAAATAAATATATTTATCCTTGTTGACAACGCTCCCGTTGTGCCATATCTTATATATATATATATATATACAGTCGAGCCTGCTTATAATGAACCTGAGCGTGATGCGGCATCCGTTTGCTCTATCTCGAAGTTCGTAGTAAATAAAACACAGCTTTTAAAAAAAGTTGGGGCTGAAAACAAACTTTTTTTGCCCCAAAAAGTACGTGATGCATATATGTTGTGTATTCGTATTGGTTCTGCGACGCCACCAGAGATGGCGCTGTGATCTATGTACCTGTTTGTCGTGTATATAAGTCCACCGTACAATAAACACCGGCAGTCGTCGGTAGCCCATGGCGGCAGTCATGTGTACGAGTTCCTCTCTTCCGTGATAGCGGCCCACCACGCCGCAATACCACATTGGCGACGAGGATGGCCACCAGTATATCTACCCCGCCGCCGTTCCTCGAGACTCCGGGCACGCCAGCGATTCCTTGGCACTGCTGGTTCCGGTTGTTCCAGAACTTCGTGCTCGCGTCCGGCGCCGACGAGTGGCCAGCAACCTGCCGTCGCGCGCTCCTGCTTCACTGCCTGGGCCCCGAGGGCCAACGGATTTTCGACGCCTTGCCCGCACCGCCCCCACCCCAGCCGCCACTTTCAACTGAAGCCACGGTCAGCGAATCGATGGAAAAACAGAAGTCCGCGCACACCGCTGCTTCAAGCCCTTCGAACCCATACGACGTTGCCCTCAACACACTGGCACACTACTTCACCGCCACCGTCAACGTCCGAGTGGAACGTCATCATTTTCGTGAACGTTGACAGCTTTTCGGTGAGTCGGTTGCCGAATTTGCTTTGGCGCTCCGGGAACTGGCAGCCCCGTGTAATTTCGCCGCTACCGTGGATGGTAACTTGTGCGAACAGTTCGTTGCCGGAGTAACTTGCCCGCAACTCAGAGAACGACTGCTCCTCGAAGGCGACGCATTGACATTCGGCCGAGCGGTAGATATTGCCAAACTTCGCGAACAAACTCGCCAAGAAGCTGAAGCCTTCGCGAACCCGATTCGCCGCATCACGCAGCGGCAACGCGGACGCAACCCGGCTAGGCATAATAGCCCCCCATTTCGCTTCAACGGGTCCCGCGCCCCTAGTCAGCATCGTCGTAGCTCGTCGCGCACTCGCCAAAACTACAAGCCCAAGCCGGAAACTGCCGCTGCCGACCCCCTGCACGCCGTATCTCGTGATAACTGCGATAACTGTGGTGCAACAGGATGCGAACGGTCGCGCTATCCCGCCCGCGGCCGCACCTGTTATGGTTGCGGACGCCGTGGACACTTCCAGAGCGTTTGTCGGAGCTCGCGTCGCGGCCAACCACAAAGGCCTGCACCAGTCCGCGAACTCCTCTGCGACGATGACGCTGAGATTGGTCACAGTATTTTGACCATCTGCACAAACAAATGCAGAGGCCTGTATGTTGACGTCGACGTGTCGGTGATTAACCCGAAGCCGCTCACGCGCAAAGTCTCGTTTCTCATCGACACAGACTCTGCAGTGTCAATAAATAATTGGGGAAGGTCACTTTCGAAACATTTTTCAAGATAAAGTACAACTCAGGACCCCCAGCATTACTCTGTTTGACTTTTCACGCCAGAAGATCCCTGTGCTTGGCCTGTTTGAAGCAACGCTGTCGTACAAGGCACTAACAGCCGTCGTACCGCTTTACGTAACGCGCAGTGGGACCTCCCTTTAGGGATTAGATGCTGTGAAAGCCCTGAATTTTCAAATTTCAGCGAAGGAGCTACGTTGCCTGCACACGGTCGTTCAGCAAACGTCCGCCTTCGCAACCTCAACGTTGCCTGCAACGAGCTCAGACGCACAAGGGCGCATTCCACCGCAAGGCGGAATCTGAGGAACGAATTTTGACTTTTTGCTCCGAAAAACTAAGCGTTGATGCTTCTGTAACATCGATAGAAAGAGCCCACAGGCTTGGGCGTTTTTCACAGCAAAACAACAGGCCGATAATAGTGAAGTACGTGTCATTTAAAGAAAAACAACGGGTGCTTGCCGCTGCGCGAAAACTAAAGGGAACCGACTATTCTATCAGCGAGGACTACTCTGAAAAGGTTAGATTGGAGCGTAAAAAGTTACTCCAGTTTGCTAGAGAACGCGGTGGTGATTTCAAGTTGAACTTCAATAAG